CCTTTTAAATGAGAAAAGCAGCAGCTCAGGGTCAGGTTTCGGAGCGGGTCCCCCGGAGCGAAGCCCCCCAAACTCCCCACCCCCCTCAAATCTCCCCCCACAAAAGGGGCAAAGTGAACCAAAAATTAAAGAAATAAACCAAATTTCTCGGGTTTTTTTTTTCTTTAGCATCAGGTGGTCGCTCTCCTGCAGGACGGGCTGTGAGGCTTAGGGGGGTCTGAGGAGAGGCTGGGGAGGGTCCGGGGGGGCACTTACGGTGCGGGCTCCGCCGGGGGAGAGGGCTCCATTGGCGAGGTAGGGGCTGCCCAGCTCCGGGAGCATCAGGAAGGGGTAGCCGGGATAGGGGGGGCCCTTAAAAAAACCCCCATCTTGCTGCCGTCTGACCACTGGGGAGAGAAGGAAGGGGGGCGTCAGGAGGCGGCGGGGTGGGGGGCAAGGCTGGGTGTANGCTGCTCCGTGCGGCCCCGGAGGGCGCCGATCCATCCCCGGGGAGCGGCCGGGGCCGGTTACCGGGGCGGGGGGGGCGGGAGAGGCGACACGAGGGGAGGGGGGGACACGAGGGGAGCAGGACACGGGGTGGGGGACACACACGGGGGGAGGACACGGCCGCGGGGGACACCGCGGGGAGCGGGACGCGGGGGGGGCACACAAGGGGTCCCGCCCGCGGCCGGGGGCGGAAACAAAGAAGTTGGGAAGTGTCGGCGGGTGCCGGGGGATGCGGCGGGGAGCGGGGGGGCGCCGGGAGGGGGGGTCCGGTACCTTCTGCCAGAGAGTCCCGCGGCTTCTGGAAACTTTCCCGGGGCGGCGGGGGCCGCTCCGCCTGCGGGGAGAGGCGGTGAGCGGAGCGGGGCCGGGCGGGGGGCGCCTCCCCCCCGCCCCCCCCCCCCCCCCCCCCCCCCCCCGCCTCACCTCGGGGCCGGGGCCGACGGCGGCGCCGGGGCCCCCCCGGTTCTCGGTCTCGCTGACCAGCGAGGACTTGAGCTCGTCCAGGTCCCCGTGGGCCGAGCCGCGCCCCGCGCCCTTGTCCTGCTCCTCGCCCTCGTCCTGGAAGGCGATGAGCTCGTCGGGGGCCCCCAGGTCGTCCCCCCCCGTCGGTTCCAGCTGCGGCATCGTGGGGTCCCGCCCCGGCCCCGCCGGGCCCCGCCGCCGCCGCCGCCACCGCCCGGAGGGTCGGGAATGCGCGGGGCGGCGGGGCGGGGAGGAGCCGGGATGCAAACCGACACCGGGGGCCGGGCAGGGGCTCGCCCCGCCCCGCCGGGCCCGCACGGGTCCCGCACCGGCCCCGCACCGGCCCCGCCGCCCGCGGGGCGCCGCTCGCTCCCGCCGCGCCCGGGGCTCCCGGCACGTTCGGGGCCCCCCCATCCCGTCCGGGCTCCCCCCATCCCGTCCGGGCTCCCCCACCCGGTCCAGGGTGCCCCAGCTGGGGTGGCCCGCTGCCATGCGGGGTGTCACCTCCCATCCCGGCCGGGGTCCCCCCGTCCCATGCGGGGGGACACTTGGGACACCCCGGAGTGCTCTCAGCTCACTCACGGTGCCCCCCGTTCCGCCCGTGTTCCTGCCACCCTGCCCTGCTGTCCCCCTCGTCCCCTGGGTGTCCCAGGGTGTCCCCTCCCCTCTGGGTGCTCCTATCCGTGCCCCCCGTCCTGTCCACCTCCCGGGGGGACCCCAGCCCACCGGGGTGCCCCCAGCCCACCGTGCCCCCAGCCGCCTTGTCCCCGCACCCCGGGGACTGCCCCGAGGGAGATGCGGACCCCTCCCCACACCGCGAGCAGGGTCCTGCCATGATGGGAGCAGCCAGCCCGCAGGACAGACTCATCAAAAAAAAAAACTTTTTTCCCTTTTTTTTTTTTTAATTTTTAATTTTTTTTTTAAATTTTTTTTTTATTACAGGGTGGGCTCGTTCCCCGGTGGCGGGCGCTTGCGGCTCCGGTGGCGTGTCACCAAACGGGGCTCGATCCATCATCCCCAAAGCATTGTTCCCGTCCCGTCACCCCCAGCCTGACCGTGAACCCCGATGTGCAGCCCCCAAAGCCCCGGGGCCCGCAGGCTCCGCCGCCCCCCGGCCGCCCCTCGCTCCGCGCCACAAAGGTTCTTCAGTTGCTTTGCCTGAAATACTTCATGAAAAGGCTTTTGTACCATCGAAATCGCTGGTGACCCCAGTCCCCCCTGCCCAAGATTCCCAAGGAAAAGCAGGAGGCAGCTGCGGGGGGTCGTGCCGGCTGGCCCTTCCCCGCTCCCAGCCCTCCAGATGTTTTATTGCCCTGTGTTTAATTAACATTTCCAGCCACGTGCTGAATGGGGAGCTCACATCTGCCCCTTCTTCCCAGGCTGCTCCTTGGTTTAGGGGCACATGGAGCAGGGCTGTGGGTGCGTCCAGGGGTCTGCGTGAGTCCCAGGGTGCTAAAAAATATCAATAATCGTAATAATGCGTTATTTTCGCCCATATTTCCCGTAAATCACATGGGATGAGGCGTGAGGAGGTGGCTGGTGCCCAGCAGGGGACACTGGGGGTGAACGTCCCGTGTGCTCCCCAGGTGCCCCAAAACCTCCCCCTCCCGTGACCTCCTAAATGATAAAAAAAAGGCAGCCCTGCAGTTTTGGGGCGTTTCCCAGCATTTGCGTGGGTCCTACAAACACGGGAGAGCCTCCTCAGTGGGTTCCATCTCCGGGAGGTGACACCTGGCGTTCTGGGGGGGATGGAGGGGTGAGGGGTGCGAGGTGGGACCCTCAGCCACCCCGGGACCCCCCCTGTCCCTTCACCCTCGGTCCCCCCAGGAAGTCGGGACACCCCGGGACCCTCAGCCATCCCGGGACCCCCCTCCGGTCACCCCAGGAAGTCGGAACACCCCAGGACCCTCAGGTACCCCAGGACCCCCCTCCGGTCACCCCAGGAAGTCGGGACACCCCAGGACCCTCAGGTACCCCAGGACCTACGCCCAGGACTTTCAGGACCCCCCAGGACCCTCCCTCACTCCGTTCTCCATCTCCCACTCCCCCCGACACATTTTTTCCCCCGGGCATGGGGACCGTCACTACCTCTGGGGACAGACGGGGGGTCTGGGGGGGCTCGTTAACCCCCCCCCCCCCCCCCCCTCCGGTCACCCCAGGAAGTCGGAACACCCCAGGACCCTCAGGTACCCCAGGACCCCCCTCCGGTCACCCCAGGAAGTCGGGACACCCCAGGACCCTCAGGTACCCCAGGACCTACGCCCAGGACTTTCAGGACCCCCCAGGACCCTCCCTCACTCCGTTCTCCATCTCCCACTCCCCCCGACACATTTTTTCCCCCGGGCATGGGGACCGTCACTACCCCTGGGGACAGACGGGGGGTCTGGGGGGGCTCGTTAACCCCCCCCCCCCCGCACCTCCCGGTCCCCGTTATTTTCCCCGTTCCGTGGCGCAGGGGTGACCCCGGACCCCGCGGGGGAGGGGGGGGGTGAGACACCGCAGGAGTTTTGGGGTAACCCCCCCCCCACCATTTCCCGTCCTTGCTGCTCTCCCGACTTTAGGGACCCCCGAAAGTGGGGGAAGGCTCGGGGGAGCGGAGGGGGCCCACGGAGGGTCACCCCGAAGCCCCCCAGGGACCCTTCCCCAGGCGGTGCCAGCCGGGCGATGGCAGCGGGGGACGGCAGGGGTGACAACGAGGCGCTAATGTCGCATTGGCACGTCCCGGGGACAGCGCCCGGCCCTGTCCCTCCGCCTCGGGTCACCTCCCGTGTCCCGGAGTCACCTCCCGTGGCCCCCAGCCCACCTCCTGCCCCCCCAGAACACCCCTTCGGGAGGGTCATCGCCGCGGGGGGGGCGAGAGGCAGAATTTTGATGATTTGGGCTAAAATTGAGGCGCATTTACACCCCAAAAATCCCCAGGCGGTGCCCGCAAACATCCCCGATGTGCCCCCCTCGGGCGGGGAAATGGGGGAAATGCCCGGAAACGGCGATTTTCTGCCCCCGGGGGCTGCAGTTCGCCTGGAGAACCCCGAGGAGCGGAGCGGGGGTCCCGGAGCAGCCGGGGGTCCGCGGGACCTGCCCCGGGATCTGCACCGGGATCTGCCCCGGGACCTGCCCCGGGACCTGCCCCGGGAACTGCCCCGGGATCTGCCCCGGGACCTGCCCCGGGAACTGCCCCGGGATCTGCCCCGGGAACTGAACCGGGAACTGAACCGGGACCTGCCCCGGGGTGCGGGACCCCCACGGGGCGGGAGCCCCCGAAAATCCGCCTGGGCCGGGGGACCCCGAACCGCCCGGGAACCATCCGGGAGGGGGGACCCCAGAACCGCCCCGGGGGGTCCCGAGAGCCGCTCCGGGACAGGGACCCCCGGGAGCACCGGGGATGGGGGTGCGGGGGGACCCCGGAGCGGGGCACAACGGAGGGGCTCTCCCTGCCGGGATCTGTTATTTTGGGGAGGGTCTCCCTGTCGGTGGGGGTCTCTTATTTGGGGGGGGCGTCTCCTTTCCGGGGTCTGTTATTTTGGGGGTGTCTCCTTTCCGGTCTCTGTTACTCGGGGGGGTGTCCGGTATTTGAGGGGGGGCTCTCTCTATCGGGGGCGTGGTCTATCCGTGCAGGGGAGTGGTCTATACATCTAAGGGCGTGGTCTAGCGACTCGTGGGCGTGCCGTCCTATGGGCGTGGCTTGATGGGGCGTGGCTATCCAGGGCGGGGTCGAGCGCTTCCGGGGCGGGGCCGGTATCACCGGAGGGGCGGTGCAGTGTAGGGGGCGTGGCCGGGGGCGTGGCTAGTGTCTTCGTGGGGGGGGATCAGGGGGTTCCTGGGGGATCAGGGGGTGTTGGGGGATATCAGGGCATCCCTTGGGGGATCAGGGGGTCCCTGGGAGATCAGGGGGTGTCAGGGGGGATCAGGGGTTCCTGGGGATCAGGGGTCCCTGGGCTGGGGCTGGCAGGTCCCCGTGGGGCTCTGTGCCTCAGAAGGTGCCCGGGGTGTGTGAGCACCCCAGACGAGCGCTGTGCTGGCTAAAAATCCCATTTCTGCCCCAATTTCAGGGCTCTGTTCACCTATGAAGGCAACAGCAATGACCTGCGAGTGGCTGGCTCCGGAGGTGAGGATTTTGGGGACCATCCCCCTGCTTCCAGGGGGGCTCCCAGGGCTCCCCTCCTTGTCCCTGCCTGAGATGTGGGGGGGTTTTAACCCCCGAGGGTGTTTTGGGGGTGCCCTGGGCGGTGGGAGCTGTGCTGGGGTGTCTGCTGGGATTTTGGAGTGAGGGATGTGCAGCAGAGCCTCTCTGCCAGCTCTGCTTCTCCTTTCCTGTCCTTTTCCCCCCTGTCCAGAGGATCCAGAGTTTGGCTCCTGGCTGCTCCTGGCATCCCTGAGGTGTTTAAATCCCGGATTTTAAATCCACGTGCTGCTCCAGAGCCACTCACTCAGCCAGGGCTCCCTGCTCAGTGCTCTGAAAGCCCCTCACGTCCAATTCCCTTCTTCCTGCCATTCTTTTTTGATTTATTTTCTGTCTGGCTGCTGATTCCCACCCGGGCACCCCTGGCTGGGAAGCTGAAGCCTCCAGGAAGGAGCAGCACATCCAGGCTGCTTTCCCCACGCTTGGAATTGCATCCTCTGCTCCCTCCCCAGCCTCTCCCTGAATTTCCAAGTGCTTTTCCCAGCCTGTGGGAGTCTCTGGGATGCTCCACAGGGTCTGGTCCTGGAGAGTTTTGTTGAGGAAGCCTCTTGCTGGGTCCCAAATGAGGGTTTTGAGGGGTTTTGGGGGGTTTTGGGGAGCTGCAGAGGGTGGGCCCCGAGCTCCCCCCAGCATTCCCTCCCCAACCAGCTCCAGACTTCCAACCTTCAACTTCCCTGCCGGGTTTGGAGCTGAATTTAGAGCCAAACCATAAATATTTAATAGGGAGGAGGAAACGATCCGGGTGATGCTGCAGAGCAGGGTGAGCTGTGTTGGCCTCTTTGCTCCTGCCAGGGGTGACAAGGACCTTTTCCCCCCTCTCAGGGCTCACCCAGCCCAGCACAGGAGGAGCTGTGGCGTTTTTGGGATGGGAGTGTGCATTTTTTGTGGTTTTCCTCCTTTCCTGCTGGTTTATTGGGCTGGTGGGAGCAGTCTGTTCCCTTTCCTGAGCCCTGGGTGGGATTTTCCCTCTGGGGTTCTCTCCCAGGTGCCCAAAGCAGCCCTGAGGCCACCCCAGGTGGCTGTGACAGGGAGGGAGCCTCGAGGCAGGAGTTTCCCCTTGCTGCACCAGCAGGACCTTGCCCCGTGCTGCTCTTTTGGTTCCTTCTCCACTTCCCATCTGCAGAGCAGGAAGAAGGCTCAGCCAGCTCCTGCCCTTCCCTCAGCCCCGTTCCCCCTCTCTGAGGTGTTCCTGAGCCTGGCTTTGTGCAGGAACCCTCGGGCCAGGCTGGCAGCTCCCCGCAAAACCAACGCAAAATCAAATTGCATTTCACAGCACAGCTTAGCTCTGATCTGCCCTTTTATGTTTTAGGGTTGAATTGCCAGAACTTTGCTGTCTCTGCCACGATCTTCTGTACCAGAGTAGATTTGACAGAGACAGAAATGATCCATTTATTTACTTTTATTGATGAGCCTTACAGTAGCAAGTGAGCTTGCAAGGTAGAACTCTGCAGCAGCTCTGTGAAAAGACTCTGAGCTCCCTGAGGCCCAGGGTCTCCCCAGGTGGAGGCCTGAGGAGGAGGAGGAGGCGATGAAGGCTGCTGGGGGTGGGGAATGTGCTCTCAGAGCAAACTGGGGGGCCTGCAGGGAGCAGGGCTGGGGGGTTTGGCTGGGCTCACCCCTGTCCCCCGGCAGAGGGGGGGCTGCAGGAGATGCTGGAGGAGCTGAGCAGCGGGAAGGTGATGTACGGCTTCTGCCGCGTCACGGACCCCAACTCGGGGCTGCCCAAATACGTCCTGGTCAACTGGGTGAGTGGGGACACTGGGGACACTGGGGACAGCCCTGGGGGCAGTGCTGGGGACACTGGGGACAGCGCTGGGGACAGCTGAGACAGACCTGGGGACAGCTGGGGACAGGGACAGCCCTGGGGACACTGGGGACAACGCTGGGGACACTGGGAGCAGCCCTGGGGACACTGGGGACACTGGGGACAGCCCTGGGGGCAGTGCTGGGGACACTGGGGACAGTGCTGGGGACACTGGGGACAGCGCTGGGGACAGCTGAGACAGACCTGGGGACAGCTGGGGACAGGGACAGCCCTGGGGACACTGGGGACAACGCTGGGGACACTGGGAGCAGCCCTGGGGACACTGGGGACACTGGGGACAGCCCTGGGGACAGCTGGGACAACCCTGGGGACACCTGTGAACAGGGACAGCCCTGGGGACACTGGGAACAGCCCTGGGGGAGCCCTGGGGGCAGCTGGGAGGGGACAGCCCAGGGGACACTTGGGGACAGCCTTGGGGTGTCCAGCCTGGAGAGGAGACAGCTCTGGGGCATCTCAGAGCCCCTTGCAGTGCCTTGGGGGGCTCAGGGGGGGCTGGGGACAGCCTTGGGATGTCCAGCCTGGAGAGGAGACAGCTCTGGGGCATCTCAGAGCCCCTTGAGGGTCTCGGGGGGGGCTGGGCAGGGGCTCAGGTGAGCAGGGGGGCTCAGGGGGGCTGGGGTCTCTCTTGCAGACAGGTGAAGGCGTCAGTGACGTGAGGAAAGGAGCCTGCGCCAACCACGTCAGCACCGTGGCCAACTTCCTGAAGGTCTGACCCCCCTGGTGCCCCCCTTGGCCACTCCCTGAGTGCTTTGGGTGGGGGGCGACCTTCGACCACCCCCCCTGTACCCCTCAGGGACATCTCCCAGTAAAGCAGCTCGCCCAAAATCCCCTCTGGGCGTTCCCTCCTCTTCCTTCCCTCGGCAGCTCTGGGAGCGCAGCCGGCAGCTCCCGGCTCCTGCTGTGGGTCTGGGGGCTCCCAGGGCGACCCCTGAGCCCCGTGCTGCTTCCTCCTGCCCAGGGGGCTCACGTCACCATCAACGCCCGGGCAGAGGAGGACGTGGAGCCCGAGCTCATCATGCAGAAGGTGGCCCAGGCCTCCGGGGCCAACTACAGCTTCCACAAGGAGAGCAGCAAGTTCCAGGACTCAGGGCCCCAGGCTCCCGTGGTCAGTGGAGTCTCTCAGGGGTTTTGGGCCCCCCTGGGTGGGGGGAAGCTCTGGGACCCCTCTCATGCCGCAGTGGAAGGGGCGCCCTGGTTGTTGGCACCTCTGTGGGGTGTTCAGGGAGAGCCTGGAGCCCCTTCCAGTGCCTCAGGGGGTTCCAGCCCACCCAGTGCCACCCCTGCCATGGCAGGGACACCTCCCACTGTCCCAGGCTGCTCCAAGCCCTGTCCAGCTTGGATGGGGCTTGGATCCCCCAGGGGTGGGGCAGCACCTGTGCCAGGGCCAGCAATTCCCCATTTTTGGCACACATTGCTCAGCCAGCCCTTCTTTAAACTGTGGGGCAGAGCATCACTTATGGGAGCTCCTAAGGGAGGCCCCAGACTGGGCTGATTTGGGCTGATTTTGGACAAAAGGTGCAAGGGAGCTTTTCTGTGTCTGCTCAGGGCTCTGTGTACCAGAAGACAAACGCCATGTCTGAGATCAAGAGGGTCAATAAGGACAATTTCTGGGCCAAGGCAGAGGTGAGAGAAGGCGTGCCTCGGAGCACAGGGTGTTGGGGTTCAGCTGGAGATTGTCCTGCAGTCTCGGGAGTCTTGCCTGGGGTCAGGGGAGTGCAGAGCTGCTGCCTTGGAGGGGCTGGAGGTGCTGCTTTATCTCCTTTACCTCCCCTGAGTCTGGCCCTGGCTCTCCTGGCAGGGCTGGGCTCCATCCCAGCTCGCAGGCAGCCCCAGCTGGGAGGGGGAGCTGGGTTCTGGCTCTGCAGGGCTGCTGCATTTCCTTCCCTGCACCTTGGGTTTGGTGGGCTTGGGCAATAGCCTGTGAACTGGAAAAGTGCCCTGGGGCCCACCAGGAGCCCCAGGACGTGCTGTGTGTCCCCTGGGATGTGCTGTGTGTCCCCCTGGGCCCCCCGTGTCCCCCTGGATCCCCCATGTGTCCCCTGGGATGTTCTGTGTCCCCTGGGATGTGCTGTGTGTCCCCTGGGATGTCCTGTGTGTCCCTGCGATCCACCACGAGCCCCAGGATCCCCCGTGTCCCCGTGGGATCCTCCATGTGTCCTGGGATCCTCCATGTCCCCTGGAATGTGCTGTGTTCCCAGGATCCCCCGTGTCCCCCTGGATCCGCCATGTGTCTCAGGATCCCCTGTGTCCCCCTGGGATCCCCCATGTCCCCAGGATCACCCGTCTGTGTCCCCTGGGCCCCCCATGTCCCCCTGGATCCCCCATGTGTCCCCTGGGATGTGCTGTGTCCCCCTGGGCCCCCTGTGTCCCCTGGATCCCCCGTGTTCCCATGGACTCCCTGTGTCCCTTGGGATGTTCTGTGTCCCTGTGTCCGCCCCGTGTCCCCCCGGAGCGTGCCGTGTCCCGGCCGTTCCGCGCTGCCCGCTTTGCCGAGATCCCGTAGCGGGGCTGCAGCGCTGGCAGGGGACCCCCGCCCCTCGAGGCCATCATCCCCCGTGGTGTCGGCAGAGGGACGAGGAGGAGCGGCGGGCGGAGGAGCGGCGGCGGGCGGAGGAGCAGCGGCAGCGGCTGGAGCGCGAGCGGCGGCAGCGCGAGCTGCAGGAGGCCGCGGGCCGCGAGCAGCGCTGCCAGGCCAGGGCCCGGGAGATCGAGGCCCACAGGTCAGTGGGGCTGGGGGCTCACGGCCTGGCCTGTCCCCTGGGGTGTCTCTCTGTCCCCCTGTCTCTCTGAGCTGCCCCCAGTCCCGTGGGGTTTGTTCCCCAGGGAGGGTTCCTGCACGCCCGGGAAATCCTGACCCAGCTGAGGAGGGAACGTCTCCCTGGCGTCACCCCTCAGCCTCCCTGCCCGTGGATCCTGCTCCAGGATTCCAGGATTCCTCCCCCTTCTGCTCCCCAGACTCTTGCCTGGCACCATGCCCCTGTTTTTTGGGGTGTCAGAGGTCCGGGGAGCTCCAAGCCCCGCGTGGATGACTCCAGGGAAACCTGCCCAGCTCCCATACGGAGATGCTCATGTCCCTGTCCCCCAGGAAGAGATTTCCCTGGAGTGACCCCACTTCTTGGAGCAGCTCCTGCCCCTCTCACTGTGCTCCTCTCCTCAGGGGTGACCCCTCAAGTGTCACCTTGTCTGGCCTGAAGTGAGGGGGAGCATTACCAAAGTCAGGGATGGCCTCCATGTCCCATTCCCTGGGACCTGCAGCAGTGGGGTGAGGTCTCAAATGCTCGGGTTTAACCCATTTTTGTGCCCACAGGAGACTCCAGCAGCAGCAGGAGGCTGAGAACAGGGACAGGGAGCAGCAGCAATGGGTGAGCTCTGGTGTTGGCCCTAGGTGGGAAAGACCTGGGACAGGGCAAGTGGAAATGGCCCCAGGTTGCACAGGGGAGGTTCAGGTTGGATATTGAGGAATTCCTTCATGGAAAGGGCAGTCCAGCCCTGGCATCCCCGTTCCTGGGGGGATGTGGCACTTGGGGACACGGCTCTGTGGTGGCCCTGGCCGTGCTGGGAGGCAGCTGGGCTCTGCTCTCAGGGGTTTTTCCCCACCAAAATCATTCCCTGGCCCCGTGGCACCAAATCCCTGCTCCCAGCCCGGAATTCCCACAGCTTCCTCCCGTGCCCGGGGCTTCCTCCTCATCCTCCTCCATCGCAGCTCCTCGGGTCCCGCGGGGGCACAGGGGGGCTGGGGGGCAGTGCCAAGGCCGGGCTGGGTGTTGGGGTTTGGAGCCCTGCACCCCTGGCAGTGCCAAGGGCAGGCTGGACAGGGTTTGGAGCCCCTGCACCCCTGTCAGTGCCAAGGCCGGGCTGGGCAGGGTTTGGAGCCCCTGGGCAGGGGGAGGTGTCCCTGCCATGGACCCTCCCGGTGCTCTGGGGAGGCAGTGACCCCAGGGCAGGGCTGGCTGTCCCCAGAGCTCTCCCCCTGTGCTGCAGGTAGCACTGAGGACTGGCATTGTCCCCAGGTCACGGAGTCCCAGATGGGTTGGGCTGGGCTGGGATCTCAGGGATCACCCAGTTCCACCTCCCCTGCCGTGGGCAGGGAGCAGGGACGTGCTGGGGCCAGCTCTGCTGTCCCCAGGCCACTGTCACCACTAGATGCTGCTCTTGGCCAGGACTCTGCTCCAGCCCTTCCCTCCGTGGCAGTTCCTCCATCCTGAGCCAGTCCATCCCTTCCCTGCCAGGGGTAGATCCCTGCTTTGTCCTTCCCCCTGCTCCCCAGAGCCCTGCTCACTCCCTGCCCTGGCTGCTCGGGGACCTGGGGACACCCAGCAGGACCCTGCTGTCACCCCAGCCTGGCCAGGTGAGGGGACAGGGTGTGGCTTTGGTGACAGAGCCCTGGTTTCTCCCCAGGACGAGACTCTGGGTACAACTCTGGTGTGCCAGGGTCCCAGGTGGAGGAGAACCTGTACGAGGAGCCCCCTGAGCCCTCGGCCATCTACGAGGAGCCCCCCCAGGTGAGTGTGGGGACCCCAGACTGGGAGAGCCTGCCTTGTCCCACCCCTAGGATGAGCCTGGAACTAAAAATCTGAGCTAAAATGATTGGAAATGGTGGAACCCCGGAGCTCAGGGGGGTTCAGGATGGCAGAGAGGGGCTGCTGTGTCCCTTCCCAGTGGGAGACACTGGTGCTGAGTCCCTGGCACCCCGGGGCTGCTCCAGCTGTTGTCAGAGCCACATCCCAGAGCCAGTGTGGGGAGAGGATCCATCAGCCTCTTCCAAAGCCCCTTCTCCTCCTTCCCTGCCCGTCTGGACCAGGAGAGCTGGCCATCCCAGCTGTTCCTGGTGCCTCCAGGGCTCTCCAGAGGCTCCTCCTGGGGTTGTGCTGTGCTCCCCCTCTGGTTTGTTCCCTGCTCACCAAGCCATCAGCATTCCAAGCATCTTCTCGTTCTGGAGCTTGTCTGGAGGTGTCCAGCAGCTTCCAAAGGGTCCCAGAGGAGATGGGCTCGTGATCCCCTCAGCCTTTCCTGAGGAAAGCAAACCTCAGCCAGCCCAGGCTCCAGCAGAAATGTTTCAGGAGCTGTTGGGGCTGAGGCTCTGTGTGCAGCAGGGGTCCCTGGGCTGCCTGTGGGCTGATCCCCAGGGACAGGCACTGCTGCTGGGCCACGCAGCCTCCTTGGCTCACAGCTGGCTTGCTGCTGTGGCAGGCAGGTGGCACAGCTTCCCTGGAGCCCAGGTTTTATTCCCGAGGGCACTGGAACCTCCAGCCACAGCTCCCCACGCCTGGGGGGGCTGGTGGACAGTCCTGGGCGCTGCACACTGTTGTTCTCTTCCCTCCCACTGCTCTCCTGCTAATTCCTGCTCTCCTCTCCTTCCTGAAGGAGCAAGTTGACGATGCCAAATACGACTACAGGGTGGAGTACCAGGAGCCCCCAGACCTGGCAGGGAAGGGGCTCTGTGCCCGCGCACTCTATGACTACCAGGCTGGTGAGACCCTTGTCCTGTCCCTCCATCCCTTCTCCCAGCTCTCTTGGAGCCCCCTCAGGCACTGGAAGGGGCTCCAGGGGAGCATTCCCAGCTCTCCCAGCCTGGCTCCATGGCAGAGGAGCCCTGGAGCAGCTCCGTGCCCCCTCTGGGCTCGCTCCAGCAGCTCCACATCCCTCTGACCCTGCAAACCCCAGAGCTGGGCTGCTTGGGGCGCTCTGAGCCCGCTGTCCCCTCTGTCCTGCCGCAGCTGATGACACCGAGATCTCCTTTGACCCCGAGAACATCATCACCCACATCGAGATGATCGACGAGGGCTGGTGGCGCGGCTACGGCCCCGACGGCCACTTCGGGATGTTCCCCGCCAACTACGTGGAGCTGATCGAGTAGGGGGGCTGCCGGGGGGCTGCTGGGGGGCTGCAGACCCCTGGGACTGCTCCAGACCCCTGGGACTGCTCCAGACCCCGAGCCCTCCCAGCTCCTGCCCGACTCTTCCAGCGACACGTGGCTTTTTCTTCTCTGTTTCTCTCTCTCTCTCTCTCTCTCAGTGAAGTGCCATTCCCCAGTCCCTCGGCAGTGGGGGCCCCCCAGCGCTGCCCCCCTGTCCCCCAAAGCTGCCCTTGGGTGAAGGAAGGGTCCCATCCCACCCTGAGCCCGCAGTGCTGGTCTCCCCCTCCTCCCTCGGCTCTGGAGTGGGAAGGAGGGCGTGACAAATCCCTCACGGGAATTTTCAGGGAACAAATTACCTCCCCCCTGTGCTCCCTCCCTCCCTCTCTCCCCGTGACCTTGGACCTGCTGCAGCCACTCTGGAGAAGCCGCTTTCCCAGGCTGATTTCATTGGAAAAGCTCATCAGGATGGTTCTGGGGTCCTGCAGGGTCTGGCACGGCCAGGAGAGGTGAATCCTGTCCCCAGCACCCTGAGCTCACCCCCTGTGAGATCCTCTCTTCTCCTCCCTGCTCTCCCCACTGCTCCCTTCCCTCACCCCAAACGTGCTGCGGGGATTTGAACTGGGGGTGAAAAACCTCCCCTGCAGCACAGATCCAGCGTGGGACCCCCTCCCCAGCCCCAAACTCACTGTGAACACGGAAAAGCCCAGCCCAGCCCCTCCCTCTCGCGTTTCCCTGCCCTGCTGTCACTTTAGGAATAGAAGGAAAGGTTGGGGGGTCCCAGCTCCCCCCCTCCTGCAGGTGCTGGGGGCCGTGGTGGCTTCTCTGAGTCCCTCCCCCCGAGCTCCTTCTCCTCCCCTCTCCCCCCCGGGCCCTCCCCAGCGTCAATAAAAGGGCTTTTCTTTGGTGATGGATGTAGCAGGATCCTGGTGGGAGCTGGGGAGGAGCGCCGGGGGTTTGTCCGCAGTGCCAGACACGGTGCAGGTGGGGCCCCCCCAGCTCCGGGCAGGCCCCGGCATTGTTGGGCAGTGACTCACGGCTGGGGGGGCCACGCGTGTGACGGTGCTGGCGGCCGCAGCTGCCACGTGGCCCTGCCACCGGCGGGGCCCGGGGAGCCTGCGGGGCCGGCGGGGTGGGGACCCCCCCAGCATCGCCCCCCAGCATCGCCCCCAGCCTGAGCCCAGCCCTGCCAGCTGGGGGGGGGGTCACGCGTGTGGCATGTGTGTGCCCTGGGGGCTGTGCAGCCCCCGCGTGGGATCCATCCCCGGGCAGTGCCAGGCGGGGCAGGGTCCCCGTGCCTGTGTGACCCGTGGTGGGGGGGATTCCATGTGCAAAGTGTGTTCCATGGGTCGGATCCCATGTTCTTTGTGTGTTCCATGTGTGGGATCCCATGTTCTTTGTGTGTTCCATGTGTGGGATCCGATGTGCAGGGTGTGTGTTCTGTGTGTGGGATCTCACCTGCAGAGTGTGTACAGGGGGCACAGGGGCTACAGAGGCACCGGGGATGCCAGGGTATGGGGGTACAGGGGGTGCCGGGTTTGGGGGTGCAGGGGCACAGGGGGTGGCAGGGTATGGGGGTACAGGGATATGGGGGTACAGGGGCACAGGGGGTGCCAGGTTTGGGGGCACAGACGAACAGGCGCTGCCGTGTGCCCGCCCGTGCTCGGAGCCCGGTGCCGGTGTTGGTGCCAGCCCCGGGGCCAGGCCCTTTCACGTGGGGCACGTGGGGCCGGGCTGGTGGCACAGGGCTGGTGGCACCAGTGTCCTGCTGGTCCCCAGGCCGTGCGAGCGCTGCTGCAGCGCCAGCCCCTGCCAGCCGGGCCCCGCACAGCGCCGCTCTGGGCTCGGTGCCAGTCCCAGGCGGTGCCGGTCCCGGTGCCGGTGCCAGGCAGCACCAGCCCCAGGCAGTCCCTGTGCTGGTCCCGGTGCCAGTCCCGCTCCCGGTCTCGGTCCCGGTGCCAGTACCGGTCCCGGTGCCAGTGCGGGTACCAGGCAGTCCCCGTGCCGGTCTCGGTCCTGGTGCCGGTCCCGGTGCCAGTCCCTGTGCGGGACCCGGTGCCAAGCAGCGCCAGCCCCAGGCAGTCCCGGTGCCCGTCTCGGTGCCAGTCCCGGTCCTGGTCCCGGTGCCAGGCAGCGCCGGTGCCGCGCGGTGCCGGTGCGGGTTCAGCGCGGGTTCCCGGCAGTCCCGCTGCCGTGCCAGTGTCGGTGGCCGCCCCGTTCGGTGCCATCCCGGTGCCGTTGCGCGGTGGTGCCGCCTCGGTGCCGGGCGGATCCCGCCCCCGGCCGCAGCGCCGCCCCCGCCGCCCGTGCGGGGCTCCGGGGCTCTCGGGAGCGGGGCCGCTGCGGAGCGCGATGGTCCCGGCGGGGCCGCCCCGCTCCTGCCTCCTGCTGACGGCCGCGCTGCTGCCGCTGCTGCCGGTACCGGCACCGGGGGCAGCCCCGGGCCCCCCCGCGCTCACCGACGCCGAGATCGAGGAGTTTCTGCGCGGCTTCCTCGGACCCGGGGACGGCGGCGACCGGGACGGGGACCGGGACGGGGACGGGACGGAGCTGAGCTTCGGCACCGACCTCAGCACCGGCACCGGCACCGGTGAGCGATCGGCCCAGGGTCCCCGGGAACGGGGTGCGGGACGGGGCTCCCCCAGCCCGGCCCCGCGCTCACCCGCCCCGGGGGCTGCTCCCCCTCCTGCCCCCGCAGGAGCTCCGGAGCCGCTGCCGGAGCCTGAGAAACCCAGGAAGGGGAAGAAGGAAAAACCCCCCAAGAAGCCCAAGGAGAGACCCCGGGGCCCCAAGAAGGACAAGGACAAGGACAAGGAGCGGGGCAAGAACAAACCCCCCAAGAAATCCAAGGAGAAGCCACCGAAAGGCTCTGAAAAAACCCCAAAAGGCTCTGAAAAAACCCCAAAAGGCTCTGAAAAATCACCCAAAGGCTCCAAAAAGCCCAAGGAGAAGCCCCCCAAGGCCACCAAACCCTCTGGCAAGAAGCCACCAGTGCCACCAAGCCCCCCCACTATCCAACAGCCCTCCCAGGGCAAGGAGGATGAAGAGATACCAGAGTTCCTGGAGCCTTCTCACAAGGAGGAGGAGGAGGATGGAGGTGTCCGAGGTCAGTTTTGGGGACACCCACCTTGGGGCTGGGGTGGGAGGTGCCAGCCCAGCAGAGCTTCACCCCAAATCCTGCCAGCTGCCCTGGCAGCACCTGCAGCTGGCCAGGCTTTGTCCCCTGGGGTTTCCCCTCTGTCCCCCCACTTTCCTCCCCACTGTGGGGCTGGGGGGGGTCAGGACAGGGCCTGGGGGGGCCGTGCCAGCCCCTCGCTCTGTCTCTGTCCCCAGGAGAGCTGGAGGAGCCACCAAATGAGCGCTGGGGGCTGGGCCGGGAGGACTGGAGCCCTGAGCCCCAGCCAGGTGAGTGCCCAGTCCCCAGGGCCACCACCCTGTGTCCTGGGGACACTCCTCTGCACCCTGGGGCTATCTCCTACTGTCCTGGGACTGCCTCCCTGTCCCCAGATGTCACCTTCCTGCACCCCAATGTCATGTCCCAGCTCCCCAGGGCCATGCTCCTGCAACATGGGCCACCTCCTTGTCCCCATATGCCACCTTCCTGCACCCCAATGTCACCTCCCTTTGTCCCAGCACCATCTCCCTGCATCCCAGTGCCATCCTTGCACGCCAGGGCCACCTCCCTCCTCCCTGGTGTCCCTTCCCTGCATGCCACTGGGGTCACTCCCTGCTCCCGAGTGTCACCTCCTGCGTGCCCCAGGGCCACCACCCTCACCTCAGGGCCTCCTTCCTGTTCTCAAGTGCCACCTCCCCGCTGTCCCCTGGCTGTACCCCTGTGTCCCTTGTCCGCAGAGGTCCCCGAGGAGCCGGAGCCCCCGACCCTGGACTACAACGAGCAGCTGGAGCGGGAGGACTACGAGGACTGTACGGAGCTGGGCAGTGCTGGGGGCACGGGGGGCACGGGGGGCACTGGGGCGTGTCACACAGCCAGTGCCACCCTCTGTGTCCCCAGTCGAGTTCATCCGGCGGCAGCAGAAGCCCCCGAAGCCCCCGGGCAGGAGGAGACCGGAGCGGGTGTGGCCCCAGCCCGAGGAGACCAGTATGTGGGAGCACGGGGACAGGGGGGCTGGCACCGCCCAGGGTGACACTGGGGGACAGTCCCCAGCCTCGGGAACCCAGGGTGACACTGGGGGACAGTCCCCAGCCTCGGGAACCCAGGGTGACACTGGGGACAGTCCCCAGCCTCGGGAACCCAGGGAAGCAGCATTTTGGGGCAGCCTGGGGTGGGGTGGACATGGGGACAGTGTAAGAGGTGTGGGGACCCTGTAGGGGTGTGGGGATCTCGTGGTGGCACGGGGGTCCTGTGGGGACATGGAGGGGTCCTGTAGGGACACTGAGAGCCCTGCAGGGACATGGGGACACTGTAGGGACACAGAGAGCCCTGCAGGGACATGGGGACCCTGTGGGGACACAGAGAGCCCCATAAGGACATGGAGTTCCCATTGGAGCATGGGGAGCTCTTGGGGGGAGACTTGTGGGGGTCCCTGGGGGGCATGGGCATCCCAGTGGGTACAGAGGGGTGCGCTGGGGACATGGGGACCTCACGGTACCAAAAGGGAAATGGGGGTGCCCCAGGGGCATGCTGACCCCATAGGGGACAGCGGGCACCCTGCAGGGATATGGGGACCCCCGCTGCCTCCCCGTCTCCAGCTGAGCCCCTTCCCCTCCCCAAGCAGAGCCAGAGGAGCCCCCCCCG